GGAAAATACGATTGTTGTTGAAACACCGAAGGACCTCCGATTGCCGCCTAACCCTGTGTCGTCACCATCTTTTCCACTGTCGTCGTTGGCGTTATTGCAGTCCATGGTAGATTGGTAGGCACGATGATGGCTCTGTGTTCTTCTTTCTCTAGAGGTCTCTCTCTTTCTCATTCGTTCATACCCTGTTTCTCCCTCTCGATTCTCTTCTAGCTCTCTCGGATTAAGCTTTCTTGTTGATTAAACTCACTTCTACAGATGTAATAATAACACAAAGATCAATTTACAAGAGATGAAACAAAGGAAGCTGATGGATCGTGCATTAAAAACCCTGGATTCCATTACTCTGACGAATGAAGAATACAGTGGGTTTGGGGGGTTGAGGACGATAACAGAGAAGAGAGAAGAAGTGGGTTATCTGGTTCGAGAGATCAACAAAAGTCATGTGATCCTTAACCTAAAATACATTTTACCTTGGCCTTAAATCTCTATAGTAATGAAGAGCTGGAGAAGGGGATTCGAGGAGAAAGAAAAAACTGAGAAATAGAGGATTTGATAGGTAGATTTGAAAGAGAAAACTCAAAGATTTCCAGTCACCATCTCCGGTGACCGAAGGTATCGAGCAAACACTCGAGAGATACAGAGACCAACGTTATGGAGAAGACCGAGAAAAAAGGAGAAGAAATCGAAGGGAAGGAAATTGACATCGTCATTTTGGGTCGTTGATCAGAGCTCTCATCGGAATCTATGGAAAAGAGAAAGAGAGAGAGAGAGAGAGAGAGAGAGAGAGAGGTGGGGTGGATAAGTGGGTCCATTTTTATATTTAATAATAATATTATTATTAAAAAGTGAAAGAAAAATGAAAAATAAAATCATTAAGGGTATAATAGTCTTTTTAGTTTGGGCAGGGACCAAAACTGCAAACAAACTAGCTCAAAAGGACTACCAATAAAAAAAGTCGGGGTTTGGATTAAAACCTTAAAAAATTTCATACCACAGGGACCATTTTTGCAATTTTGTCAATTAGAAATCATACGAACTCGACTTAATTAACTCGCTGTTAACTCAAGGTGGTCCAACTCACCGTAAAATCCAACTCGATTCGAACACAAAACGAAGCCTAAACCAACTGGAGATCGGCTTTCATGCTGTGAGGAGATCTGTGGAAGCTGGGAAGGTGATCATGGAGAATGCGTTCAAGCTTCTCCTTTCATGTCCCTCTGGTCTCTCTTCTTCACAGGTAAAACTTCGATTTTCCTTTAAAAACATCGCATTATGTTCAAATACAGTAACTTTCCCGATGGATTTTCTTTAAAGAAGTCATTTTAAGTTATTCTTTGATAACAATTTGTGATATCTTTACTTTTTAATTAGGTGTCGGTGAAATTCGACGAATCGTACGATAGAGTTCCTCATCCGGACATTAACTTAGATAGCTCCATTTCTGAGGTGTTCATACTAATGTTTCTCTTCTTATTGCTTTGCTTCATTGCATCATATATTCCCTGTTAGTTTTCTTTCTCCTAGTTAATTTTGCTTTCAATTGAATTTTGGTGCTCCAGGTAGACACAAACATTGTGCAAGAAACAAACCCTAACACAGATGATATAATCCGTTGTTCTTCAACTCATATCCGTAGTATTGCAATAATGGTCGAATAATACTGTATAGTGTACTGTAATTAGGGAAGAGTTAATAAGGATTATGGAATCTGGTTGTTACATTTCAATCATGTATTAGGCCAGTGGCATACTCAAATCTTCCTGTTGAGGGTAGTGTAATCAAAATTAAATGTCTTGAATTAGTATACATCAAGATCATAAGCCCTTTGTTAGTGGTGTATAAGATTTGCATAAATGACAATTACTGTTGATTCAAAGGACAACATCTTTTATATCAAGCTAATATTCTTCCTCTTTCATTTCTCTCTCTCTATTTTTTTCTCCAGATATGGGATCAAAAGGTTCAACAAAGCACATCACTGTTCAATGGGAAAAAATTTAGGGTTTGTAGATTTATCTTTTAATCAACCTTCTAAGTTGTAACACGTTCAGAATTGAATATCTTCATGTTACATTCAGTGAAAGTATCATACACATTGTACTTACTCTTTAATGGTTGTTGCAACTTAGTATGGAGGACACAGTGGCCTTGAACCTCATGTATGCCTTCACCTTGGTCTAACAGATTATAGGTTCTCTCTTCTTCTCTCTCCAATCTCCATATGTATACCTTTTTTTTGGATAATCTGTACCTAGAAACAATATGTTACTATTTCAGGACTTTTATGGGGACAAACTTAAATCCTTCATGGGAAAGATTTCTTGTGGCATCTGAAGGTAAAAACATCATACATTTTCACACCTGCTGTTTCAACTTTCAAGAATCATTATCCAATCAAACCCTTTACTTTTCATGTTACATAAACTTTTTGTAGATGATTGTAAGCAGTGTCAACACACTTCTAGTCCATTAGGCAATGGTGCAATTGTAGAGACATCTGATAATATGATACTTGTGCTCCAAAGAAGTAATAATGTTGGAGAATTTCCAGGATACTTGGTCTTTCCAGGTGGGCATCCCGAGGTACATCAAATCAACAATCTTTTTCTTTTTACTTTTTTTTTTTTTCAAAATAATAAAACATAAATTTGTCGAATTATATATTTTTATGATTGATAGCCAGAAGAAGTTGGAATTACATCCCATAAGTGTGAAAACTCAGAGTTGAGAAACAGTAAAATTTCACAAGAGATGTTTGACAGCATTATCCGTGAAGTTGTTGAAGAAATAGGAGTACCTGCTTCAACGTTGGTAAGAATATAATATTTCTCTTTATTGCAATCAGGTCTCCCAAGTTTTGTTCATTTGATTTTCTCACCTTAAACTAATACCAAATTAATTCTCTTAGTTTGGTTATTTGATTTTATACAGAACGACCCTTTATTCATTGGGATATCGCGTAGGGTATTGAATGTAAGACCCACTGCTTTTTTCTTCATCAAGTGCAATCTTGAATCAACAAAAGTTCAACAACTTTATTCTAGTGCACAAGATGGCTTTGAGTCAACAAAACTTTATATTATACAACCTGTGAGTTCTCATTTCATCCTTTCAAATATCAGACTGTGACTGTGACTGTAACTGATGTTGAATGAGTATAAATATCAGGGTAAGTTGGAGAGCATGGCATCTAAAATGCCGGGGTGCCACAGAGGAGGATTTGCACTTTACAAGTTGATGTTAGAATGTGGGAAGAACATCAAGTGAATGTGTAGAAGGTATCAAGGCGCATGTTAGTATATATTTGTTTGATATGGCAATAGCTTTTTGAGGAGGAATAACTGATTTGAAAAGTGATTGGAACTTGAGCTTGGTATTCCTTTTAAAAAATGGGCAAATTGAATGTAAACTAAAATGAATATATCTGTATTCGTTTTCTTTTATTAATTAATTCAGCAATTTTTGTATGAAGAATATTTGGAAAGATTTTCTTTTATTACAACATATGTGAATTATGTGGTACGATAAACAATAAATTTATGAAGGTGCTTGATTGAGAGGGTATTACTAATTAGGATGATTGAAGGGAATGAATATGATTTTATAATGAGAAATTAGTTGGTGTGATTAGTTACATGATTACCTAAAATATAAACTGAAATATTAATGATTGTAACCTCTGTGCAGTTGTTAATTTCCAAGTTTATAATTGTGGTATCTCTTATTTAAAGTTGTAAGATTTTCACAAATCAAAAACATCTTCGAAAAATTCGGTCGCAACTCCTATAGTATATACACACTTTTCTACACATTTAAAACGGTACTTATTTTTATATATTTCTTTGTATTTTATTCTATAAGAATACAATTTCGTAAGAATACACATTATAAATCAAATAAGTATTGTATTCTACAAGAATACAATATCCTACATAAATACACATTTAACAATATCCTATAGTATACAAAAATGAAATTCGAAATCAAATCAATAAGGTTTGAAGTAATTGTGAAACGTCTAATACTAGGTTCTAACAAATATAAATATATGGTTTTTGTAGCAGATTTAAAATGTGTTTCAGATTTGTTTTCACGTTCTCGATTTCTTGTTATCATTTAAAACTTTCCCTCCCCCTTCCCCTTCTCATTCTCACTCTCTCTCTCTCTCTCTCTCTCTCTCTATATATATATATATATATATATATATATATATATATATATATATATATATATATATATATATATATATATATATATGGGCGGTTCTAGTACAAGACACACAGTGGCCCGAGCAACCTCTGACTTTTCCGGACGCAATGTAAAAATTTTTGAAATTTTTTTTTCTCTTATTGTGCAACCCCTAACTTTCTCATGCATCCCCTACTATGAAATTTTGCATCCGCCTATATATATATATATATATATATATATATATATATATATATATATATATATATATTTTATATATATATGGTAAAGTGAATATATCTAACAACCTTATATAAGCTTAGGTACCTAACATTATCAAACTACGTCATTTTGCATTAAATTTTCATTGCAATCATCCAAGGTTCTTAAACTTCATCCCTAAACTTGATTTACTTCAAAAAAAATTTGGAAATTCATCATTATATTTCTCCTATATCCTTTCATTTGTAGCTGTAGGATATGAAGCTCATTAAGTGGTATTCGATATAAAGACGTGATGTAAAAGAAAAATATTTGTGTAAATCCAAAGATTTTGGAAGTAATCAAGTTATGGGGTTGAAGTTTAAGAACTTTAGGTAACTATAATGTAAATATGATATAAACCAATATAGTATTATGGAATTAGGTACCTAAGTTTATATAAGGTTGTTAGGTATATTCACTTAACCATATATATATATATATATATATATATATATATATATATATATATATATATATATATATATATATATATATATATATATATATATATATTCTTGTTCTCTTTATCTTTTGAATAAAAAAGAAAAGGACTTTTGGGTGTGATTCGGATTCTAATTTTATGAAATATACAAGTCTACAAAACCTTTGTTGCATACATGTGCGATTGACGTCCCTTTCTCTCTCTACCATTTCCTTTTTTTCTTTTTCTCTCCACCTCCATTGTCCAAACACAAAAAGATACATGCACAAAGGGAGATAGTTCTCGTTCTTTTGTCATCTAATGCCATTTACAGATTGTTGTGATCTCAAAAAGCCATTTTCAATTCATGGACTATTTGGTTCCAAATGAAGGAGCGCAAAAGGTCCACCTTTCTTCATACCCAGGTTACTGTTTTCCCTCTTCCTCTGTTTTTCCTCTAATTTTCAAAAACCCATTTCATTTTCATGGAAATGCCTCCCTGTTTTACAGTTTTTATGGTGATCTATTATCGTTGTTTCAAATACCCTCCGTTTGTTAAAATGACGCTTAGAAAATAGGCATTCTCTTCGTTTGTTTTTATTTTTCTAATGATGATTTATAATGATTGTTGTTCGACCAGGGCATAAATTTGAGGTCCAGGAAATTGCAAACCAACAATAATGGAGTTTCGGAAGTTTATTTAAAAGAATATTTGCATTCGGTGATTAAATAATTGAATTTGTTCTTCAGGGGTGTTGAGTTTTACACGAAGAAAGATTTTCCAGGTTTGAAAATGCTATTTCTGATCTGGGTTTTTGAGGGGAAGAAGAAAAGAATTTCCGTTATTCATTATTAGGATTACAAAAGCTTCCCTCGCACCAAAAAGGGGATCATTATCAGGTTTTATACAAATTCTCCGATGAAGGCACCACCAGAAACATGGATGCCACCGGCCACCACCACCCCAACCACCGCTTCCCGGAAAAAGATGTCTAAACAGGTGACGGGGAAACGAGATGATACCCCTTTGCATACAGCTGCAAGGGCAGGGAACATCAACGCAGTAATGGAGATTTTAGGTGATTGTTATGGTGAAGAAGAATTGATCTCATTGCTTTCCAAGCAGAATCACGCCGGTGAAACGGCGCTGTATGTGGCGGCAGAATACAGTTATGTTGATTTGGTTAGGCTCTTGATCGATCAATATGATATGGCAACAGCCAGCATTAAAGCCAATAATGGATTCGATACTCTTCATATTGCTGCTAAACAAGGAGATTTAGGTATGCAAATCTCTATGTTTTCTAGTAAATTCCACATCATCCTAAACTTTTGTCTTTTATAACTATTTCCATTCTTTCAATTTACAGAGACTTTAAAGGTTTTAATGGAGGTCCACCCAGAACTATCAATGACGGTTGATATATCAAACACCACAGCCTTACACACGGCGGCGATGCAAGGCAACATTGAGGTGGTTAACTATCTATTGGAGATAGAAAGTAGTTTGGCATCGATAGCAAGAAGTAATGGGAAAACTGCTTTACATTCGGCTTCAAGAAACGGGCATGTTCTAGTGGTGAAGGCTCTTTTGGAGAAGGTACCCGGGATATCTTCAAGGAATGATAAGAAGGGACAAACCGCCCTTCACATGGCGGCAAAAGGCCAAAATCATGAGGTGGTTGAGGAGTTGATCAAGGCGGATCCGTCGTTGATAAATATGGTTGATGCAAAGGGGAATACTGCTTTGCATATTGCAACTCGTAAAGGCCGAGTTCAGGTACAATAATGCAACAAGGAATGTTAGATGCAGCTCACTGAGCTGCATCTTGCGTCTGAAATGCACATTCCATACGTCATATCTATGTTACGTGGATGTGACGTATGAAATGTACATTTCACACATCATATGTATGTTATGTGCATTTGGCGTATGGAATGCACATTCAATACGCCGTTAAGTGCATCCAACGTCTTGAAAAATATATTCCGTATGCCATAGGCACAAAAAATAGTGCATTTATAGATGTCAATTAGTAAAAAATTGTCGTTCTCATGTATAATCATTGTGTTTATGCAGATTGTTAAGATGCTACTAGCTCGTACCGAAATCAACACAAGAGTCGTGAATAGGTCGAACGAGACTGCATTTGACACAGCCCATAAAATGGGCCATCCCGACATAGGATGCATCTTAGAAGAACACGGTGTCCCGAGTGCCCGTGTCCTAAAACCCTCAACAACTCCGGCACGAGAGCTAAAACAAACCGTAAGCGACATAAAACACGAGGTCCACGATCAACTCGAACACACTCTCCAAACTCGGCGAAGGGTCCAAGGCATCGCGAAACACCTCAACAAAATGCACGCTGAGGGCCTTAACAACGCGATAAACTCCACCACCGTAGTGGCCGTGTTAATCGCCACGGTTGCATTCGCCGCTATTTTTACAGTCCCGGGACAATATGTTGATGATCCAAGCAATATACCCGAGGGTTTTTTGCTAGGTGAGGCACATATTGCCCCACAACCCGCGTTTATAATCTTCTTTGTTTTCGACTCTGTGGCTCTATTTATCTCATTAGCAGTTGTTGTGGTTCAAACCTCGGTGGTGGTTATTGAAAGCAAAGCGAAGAAGCAAATGATGGCTGTTATCAACAAGCTAATGTGGTTGGCTTGTGTGCTTGTATCGGTGGCGTTTTTGGCCCTTGCGTTTATTGTTGTCGGGAAGCATGAGAAATGGCTAGCGATTTGTGTGACCATTATAGGAACGTGTATAATGGTCACGACTTTGGGGTTGATGTGTTATTGGGTGATTATGCATCGAATCGAAACTTCAAATATGAGAAATATGAGAAGGAAATCAATGTCGGGTACAGAAAGTAGGTCAGGGTCGAGGTCTAGGACATGGTCGATTTCTGTACTTTCAGATACGGATCCTATGAATACCGAGTTCAAGAACATGTATGCAATCTAAAAAAAATACATTTTGAGAAAGATCTTTTTGGTTCAATCAGGCATGACTGGTAATTTAATGGTTTTAGAATGTGTAACTATGCCTTCAAAAAGGCTCGAAATACCGTCAAAAAGACTCCAAACATATTTTAGTTTTGGGGCGCAATAGCTTTATCAAATTACCTATATTAAAAAAGGAAATATTCGAATTTTATGAGATAATTAGATCTATTATTTTTAAAAATCTGACTTTTAAATTAATTCAAATTTAATTCTAATAATTTTTAATAATAACCGATTTTATTTTTATCAAAATGACAAAGTCAAGCATAAGCTAGTAAAAGATACTTTTGATTTTATTCTCGGAGAATAAGGTTATATATATATATATATATATATATATATATATATATATATATATATATATATATATATATATATATATATATATATACTAGCCGTTACCCGCGCACAGCGGCGGGGACAAATAACTTCTTTCAACGATATTTTTTTAAAAAAAAATGTTATGTTCCAAAAGAAAGTTCATGTCGTGGGTGAGAGGAAGGGCGGTAGTCGTGATAGTGGTTGATTGAAGGCGAAAGGAGGCAGAGCGGCTGTGGTGGTGGTGGTTATACTGTCTTGGTTACTGGTTAGGGTTTTTCGAGAGAGTGTGCGTATATTTCTTACTTTGAAGGGATTACGAAGATAGATATTATGAGATTGTTTGTTACCAATGTGAGAGAAGAGATCCTCTATAAATTGTTGACATTGACCGCTTCAAATGGTTGAAGTGTTGAGATTGACGGGTTCAATTTGCAAATGAATTCTTCTATTAATTTGATACGAGATTTTTAAGGGATAAAGGATATGGTTAAAGTTTTAATATTATTATATTATAAATGGGTTGTACTTCAAGCTTAATAGTTTGGACGTCTTAAAAAAATAATATTATTATATTCAATCTATTTATAGAAATAGTTAGATTTCTTTTATAAGTAGTAAAGATATATATATATATATATATATATATATATATATATAATTAACATGTTTAAAGAATTGTACAACATATTATCAAGAATAACATTTTCTAAATAATATGAATTTTATTCTTTAAGAATCACTACTTACATTAACTCGTAATTAATAAGACTATAAACAATTACTACATTTATTCTCAAAAAAAAAACAAAGACTAATAATGGTTTAAGAATTACATTTATTTTTAAAGATTAAAACTAAGAATGATTAAAAAGAAAAAAAAACATCAAAATCTAACAAAAATATTAATTCATTATGAAGAGGGAGTGATATCTTAGAGGTACCAGTGATATCTTTATTGCTAATTAAGACTTGTATCTTAGGTTTTTTTTTTTTTTTTTTTTTTTTTTTTTTTTTTTTTTTTTAATTTGAATGGGTTGAGTGAGTTGAGTAGGTTGGAAGGGAATGACTCCCTCCTCCCTAACAAATACATGGACTGATGTTAGTGTAAGTCAGAGATCCACAATTTTAGCCGTTTTTTATAAACGACCCAATATTACAGAATCGGTTTTTTATAACTAGTTAGGCTAAAATGAACCAATAGTTTAATATAGATTTTTTAATTGAAATCGGTGTTTTTCTAGCATTTTCCAAAAAGAACGAATTAAACCAGTTTTAAACTGAAAAATAATCGATTATATATATATATATATATATATATATATATATATATATATATATATATATATATATATATATATATCAGTGTTGCAGAAATCGGTTTTGGCGGCCGATTAATCACGGTTATTAATTATGATGGAAAGTTAACATATGGAATCATTGTTCAAGCCCTGTTTCATTGATGATTCCGGGACGTAATCATCCTAAGGGGGAGATAATTGTAACGCCCGTAGATTAGGGCTAGTCAATTTAAGGACAATAAGCATCAAAAATGACTTTTTGATGGAAGATTATTTTGAAGGAATAATCTTAACTAATTTGTAGTATATGTTGCAAGGATTCTGTACATATAAAGAACACTGAAATTCGAGTTATAACGAATAAGTTATGACATGTCGAAGTTTCGTGACAGAACCGGTACGACACAACGCGGCGTAAATAGTGAATTTACGATAGAGTGAGATTTGGCATTAGCGATCTAAACGAAAGTTGTAGAATACGTTAAACCGAGAGCGTGCATAAAAAGAACGTCAAAATCTTACTTCGTATGAGGAAGTTATCATTTTTCTAAGTTTCAGCTTAACAGTATGCAGCACGAAACTCGAATTTGAGATCGAGTGATTTTTGGTCGAAGCAATCCAAACGGGAATCAAAGATCTCGTTATTAGTAGTGCAATGATAAAAAGACAGACGAAAACGAACGTCGGATGAAGAATTTATGAATTTATAACGGAGTTTTCCTATCCCGGCCTACCAAAAATAAATAATAAAAATAAATTCAAAATTAGCCGATGGAGTCTAAACGAAAGTTGTAGAGCATAGTCTCATCTACGCGTGGATGTAAAGAACGTCGAAAACGAAGTTCGTATGAGAAAGATATGAAATTTTGAAGTTTATTAAATAATTAGAATATTTAATTTAAATATAAAATCCAATATTATCCGAAGGGGGAGGAGTCATCGGCCTGATCCGAACTACGCCCAGCGTAATTTTGGGTTACACCATGCGTAAATCGGGGTTTCAGCCCCTATAAATAGAAGTCGATGGCAGCCGAATTTCCTTGCTCATTTCTTCCTTTCTCTCTCATTTTTGCATCGTTTTGCGTGCACGAAATACCCTGAAGCCCTGGTATCATTCCCGAGCCCCCGAAGCAATCCCCGAAGATCCCGAGAAGTGACATTTCCGAGCCGAAGCTCTACCCGCAAGAAGCCCGATTTTTGTGAAGATCTCTCGGTTTCACTGAAGAATACTACTTCTACAAGCCGTAGCGCTGTCCGTTCATCTTCTGATCAAGTGAGTGTATAGTTACTTTCTTCTAACACATAAATATAAAGTATTAACTATGAAATACATGTTATGTGTTATATATTGTTTGTCTATTTAAGATGGGCTTGAAATTGATGTTTTTATACGGGTGTTAAATGATTTAAATTGTGTTTGTATTTATATCTACTAAAATGTTAGGTAGAACATGGGTAGATGGAATAGTTGGTGACGATGCGACTTCGTGCCTATTGAGTAAAACCTTGGTGGGGATGTGACTTCGTGCCTATTTGATGAACCTTGGTGACGATGTGACTTCGTGCCTGTTGAGTAAACCTTGGTGATTATGGAGTTAGAGCCTGATAGCTATGGATTTACTATCTGATAGATAAACTTTGGCAGTAATGGACTTCGTGCCAGTTCCTTAGGTAAATCCTTAGGAATGAATGAATGAAAGATAGTTGGTTCTTAGGGTAAACCCTTAAGAAATAAAGGAGTTATGGGGATGAGTATTTGGGTTGATTGTTTGATGATTGAATAATAAATGTATTATTGTGGGTTGAAAACCCTATATGCTCATCAGGCTCCCAAGCCTGACCCACTCAGCTTTCTTTGTATCATAGGTATCAATACGAAGACATATTTCACTGAGAGATTAAAAGAGATGTAAATCATTGGTGTAAATAAATGTAAGTTCTGTTTATGCTTATGTGTCTGTATCGGAACATGACATCCTGAGATTTTGTTAGATAATGAAAATACATTCTCTTTGAGAAACGTTTTGATAAATTCTTATCATATTTTGTTTTGGGAACAAATTCCGCAACAATTTTCTTTAAACGATTACTCTGATTATAAAAACAAAACATAAACAAATCGGTCTTTTCTGGCCCTGAAATTGGGGATGTCATACGTACTAGCATGTACGCCTAACTTACTCCCATGTTAAGCCATTTTCTTCAAAGTTGCTTAATCCTTTAAGACACTACGTCCAAACTACAGATCTGAGTCTAATAATTCGTCTTAACCCATAAAGTCGATCAGTTGGTGGCTTGCAACCCACCAAATGAGCCCAAACATAGAATAACAACAACTACCTCCATAGAAATGGCTAGATCTCATGCATGGCTAGATAAAAGCCTTAAAGGTTGAAACTTTACTGCTAAAGGGATACTTTGAGCTCCAAGGGTGGCAACCCCAAGCTCAAAATTGAAGTTGCATGATAAAGGTCCATCATTTGGACCTAAAAAGGTCAAAAGCTTCATAACTCTAGATATATGCTTCTAAGAGGAAAGTTTGAAACTTTATACCTCCTTTGAGTGCCAAAAGATGCAATAGTCCCAAATCTTGGAGCTCAAGATACTCAAGTTCTTCTTCTCCAACTCTTATTCTCTTCTTCCAAGCTTTTCTTCACCAAAAACGAGCTCAAAAAGTCAAACACATACAACAATGGAGTATGATGGCGTATTAGGGTTTCCTGAGGGTGAGGGACTGGTAAGGAGGCCAGGGGTGGCTATAATGGGGTATTTATATGTCTTAAACACTAAACATTAGGGTTTGGCATCTGCTCGCGTACGCTGGGCGTACCTCTTGCTACACTGCGCGTACGTGCCCGCGTCCCCCCCGAATCCAATGAGCCTCTATGCCCCGCAAAACAAATATAAAAAGTTTTAGATCTGATAAAAATTTCCAACTCAAATCTCGAAAAAAGAAGTTCCACCACAATTTGCATAAGAAATAACAAAATACTTAAAAATGTCGCAAACAATATGAAACAATATATCTTGATCATATATTTTATGATTTCAAAATACTTGAAACACAAAAAGATATGGATACATCAAAACCAAGATAAACAAAATCAAATTTTAGATCAAGTCATATCGATGCATTCCAAACTTTCTTTTAAAAAGAGAATCCAGGATGAACGCTTTTTTCATCGTTATGTGCTGACTAGATGCGTACTCGCATGATCAATCAATGGACGGAGGAATTGCGTTCAACCCGTAGCCTCATCATGTGGTTTGGGTTTTCTATTTTCTTCAAAAATCTATCCAAATATGGAATGACAAAATATATAACCCATTATAGAAACCTACTTCTAAACCCTTACACACAATCAATGTACTTATAGTTTCTAACCTATACAGGTAAATTACCTTGATCTATATTCATATCACAAAAAATGAACCTTTAATCTTCTTATATGTTTTTGATAAAGCATGTAATTTCTTTAATTAAACATTTACATGTAAACTATAAAAGAAAATGAACAAATAAAGGCGGGCCTGTATTTGTAATATCTTGAATTCAAGATTGAGGGGAACATATTTTAAACGTTTTAAAAAGATATCAAGAAGAACATGAGAAATCAAGTTACAAAACAAAAAAACAAAAACAAAATGAAAAAATATTTCTTCCTCTAACCAAATTTCTTGAGGCGGTGAGGGGAAGGTTGTTGTTTTGTGGTGGCAATGAGTGTTAGTTGTATTGTGTGTAATCTATGTAAGGTGTATAGCCAAGAGCCTATAAGAAAGAATAAAATTAGTTGATTTGATTTTTTTTGGAGATTTAATAAAGATCTTCATTTATAGTTAAGAATACACCCGAAGGCGGCCAATGTTGTCATGTACTCCTGTACTGTACTCCTGTATTGTACTCCTGGTCGAGTTGAGCACACAACTTCGAATCTTTGGTCATTTGGTGTCGTCTATATCGAGTTTGCTCACCATATACTCCAAAAAAGTTATTCATTTATGAATGTATGTAATGCGTGTAATGTTTTTGGTGCACTCTGCTGATAAGCCAAAGCTTACAGTCTACAGGGTATCACCAACATCTAAAAGTAAACACAAAAGGATTACAAAATTTCATTACAGGTGCATAAATCATAAAATGGATCAAAGGTTGATGATCAACTCCTTTTCTTATTATCTATACAAAAACTTATACATAAATGTTGGACTTACATACAAAGTTATGATGGTTTGTAAATATTGGAGCAATTCTATACGTTTCATACAAAATCTTAGAATTCTTTATTAAGTTGATATTAAAATTTCAACAGGTATAGCTATACCGATTGATAATATCTATCTACACAATCTGTGAAAAAAGTAGATGTGAATATGTCGAGCTTTAAAGCAAAGCCTTGGAAATTTTACTAAAAACCGTTAAAATACAAAATTAATCAATTTAGAAATTTATATGAAACCTAAGTTGATCAAAGACTCCCTTACTTGATTCTCTTTAAAGTTATTTCTCTAGTTTCCATGAGTATCCATCTACGCACACACACTGATGAAAAGACATAAATACCTTGTCCAGGAATGAAAAGTAACTAAAACCAAAAAAAGTAAAAACAAAACCAATGTTGATACGAACGTGGAACGAAAGATATACATATGTCTCTCCTCCCACTGCAGATTAAAATTCAACAAAAGTGTTAAACATAAATTCCTACAAATCAGTTGTTATAATGTTCTGCTTCGTTGATGACTAAACTAAAAACAATCTTCATGAAATTAAATAAAAAGTCAAATTTTAAATATAACTCACCTTGTTGCAGAAAATGGAACAATCGAGTAGATAAAAGGAGGGTCAAAGTAACCGCGGTTGAGGAAGCTAATCAGATGAACAACAAAAGGGTATTCAAGAAAAACTGAAAGAACACATACACTGCCATTGGAAGCATGCCTTACTATCTCCAACTCGTTCCTCTTATGAGTTCCGACAACTAATCATGCATTTCGCTCCATGTATTCATGTATTCCAATTAAAGTAGAAACATAACCTCCTTGACCAATAAAACGTTATTATTGTTGATTCATATGATCCAAATGAAATCAACCAAAACGAATACTAAATCAGATATGTATATCGATTGAAGAAAACAAAACTGGAAATTATAGCAAACCAAATAACAATCTCATAATGGAAATTTCTATCTTAGAGCAACATAATACAACAAACACTAAAAACACAAAAGACAACTAACGAAGAAGACAGAGAAGTAAAACATAAAAAAATTATAAAAATCGTATACCTGAAGAAGACAACGGGCTATAGAGGGAAAAGTTACATCGAAACCCACCCAATACAGTGGGGGCGTTGTATGGTGGAGAAGAGGTTATAGAGCAGGGAAGAAGAGTGGTGTTAGAGAGCTTTTGATGTAGCTTATGAAAAGGTTCAAGCACCGACAACCACATCAACCGTCGACATGCACCATCATTTCAGACCAGAAACATCGACATGGTGGCGTTGGCTGTGATGGTGGCGGTGGTGATGAATGCCAATTTCTGCCTCTGGAAGCATGTAACATGTGTGGTAATAGGAGATGAAAGTGGGAAGCAAAACGAAAGTGGTGAAGGAAGGATGAGGTAAAGGGTCAGTAGGGAAGGCAAGCAAATAGGTTCAGAATGGTGATGGGTTCGCCTGCATCGTATGGCGGTGGATGTCATGTGGTATCTTATTGGAAGACAAAGTGGTGGAAAAACGCAGATAAAAGAAGAGAGAAAAAACCAACACATATATGGTGGCTCTGGCCATCAAAGCACGTGGAAACCACTATCTTGAAGAACGGAATCATCATTTATATTCATGTTTGCAACTGATAAATAACCACAATAATAGATAAGCAATCAAAGAACAAGAACAAAAAACCAACAGAAGCAACCAATCGAGCAACAAGAAATCAAACAACAAACCATGGAATTCGATCAACAACAAGAAACTAACAATAACAACAAGTGAGCACTATAATCAAACGAACATTAGTAGCAATAGCAAGTGAACACTAATAAACTAGAGCAACAAACCAACAGAAGCAACCAATCAATATGTGTCACAGATGATTATTACAAAACCTTCTAACATATCAAACCTCCACTTTGATACCATGATGGTAGAGACATATTCTTATTGAAAGAGAAAATTTACAAGTGTTCTAGAAGAAAAACATAAAGGTTATAAAAAAGAAAGGGGAGAATAAATACTAGCTAAGACCAAACCCTAATGGGTTAAAGCCTAAAAAGCGTATAAACATATAGGCTAGCAACATATAGGCTAACAAGATGAAAACTACATCAAGAAAAAATGATACTGATTTGATTTCTTGAGCAACAAGTTTGCAAGGATTCAAAGCAAATATAATCAACATAAAGTGGGCTACATTTCTTGATCGAAGGTTGTCAAGGTGGATCGTTGACTTAACATAGTTAGTAGGCCTGAACATTACATGGTATCTTTTTTATGTTTGGAAAACTAACCACTCTTGAGGCATACATACATGTATGAGAGTGGTATACAGTTCCTTTAAGAGTTTTTCTCTTTGTTTGTACAGTCTCTACACGCATGCCTATATGGTTATATCTACGTGTCTTCAAAAGCATCTATGTAGATGGTGTATTGGTGTATAGTCTTTATTCCCACATCAAAAACAATGAACACGAGGACATGTAGACTCTTTGAGCCAATAAAAGTTATGGTCGTTAAGTATCAAGTTGTGCAAGTTAGCTCATGAAAGTGAAAAGAATGAATGGTTCCTCTTTCTTATTTGTTACTGTTGAAACAATTGCTCAAACACATATGCCCTCATATCCAACAACACAATATGCCCCACGTACTCACCACTAAACAAACATAATCATGCATTGTTGTCCCATTTTAGACATAATTAAAAAAACACTAAAATCTACGCTTGATTGTGGTTTTAAGCTCCTGTTTGTCCGTTCACATCGCTAGTTTTACCAGAATCATCAAGTAACGGTGAAGGTGATGATCCAAAATTTTGTGGCACTCCATTCATCATTTCTTCACCGATTTTATTCAACCAATTGGAATTCTCGTTTGCTCCACCGGCTGTATGCATGCCATAAAACGAATTATTATGATTAACTAACAATCAAAATTAATAGCATAAATCGTTGTTGGTGATTTAATGTTATCAATATATTTTAGTGTAATTATATTTACTATTGAGACATACTGAGTTCGGTTTACTATTTAAAGCTAGAGGTGCGGGGTGCACACTCAAATGTAAACTCAAAAATACGAGGGTTAGAGGCAGTGTCCCTTGATACGGGGTTCCAAGGGACTACGTCCCTTGCGGGGTCCAAGGAGCTCTTCCCACGGCGTTGGTTCAGCTAAAATAGTCTATGACATCATGATGATGTGATAGTTGGTTTTGTCTTATAACCACCATTGTAACTATCCATTTAGCACCATTTTGTGTACAACCAACTTTGGCCATCTTCCTTCTATAAAAGGAAGATGAATGTTCCATGGGAAGGGTTAACACTTTTGATACCCGAAGTTGATTTTGTGAATCTATCAGTCTCTCAAAAACGCAAAATAGCAACGTATTTTTCTGTGTTTCGAATTTGTAACTGTCGTGCTTGGATTATCCCAAATCAGATTCCGTGATACCCCTTTCAATAGAGTCGAAATTAATCACAGTTTGATTTTGGAAAGTGATTACAATCAGGATTTTTGAATTATCCAAGTTTATATTGATATTCTTAGACCCAAAATCTAACCATCGTCACAATTATCAATGAAGAAATGATGAATGGGGCACTAGCGATTGGCCAAATATATACTATTAATACTATATATATAAGCAACGCTAACCTGTAGCAACTGGCTTATTATTGTCTTTGACTGCTTTCTTTTTCTTACGCAAAATGACGATCACACCGATAGCAATCCAGATGAGAAAGAATGTCGGGATTGAAGTGCCGAGTACTGCTGGTAACGAGCTGCTTTTCTTCTTCTTCTTGCTGCGAGATATGGTGGTGCTCTCCGGAGATGAACTCACAGTCCCCGGAGATGAATTGACAGTCCCCGGAGATATCGCACATGACTTACCAGATGTACACACTGAAGGATTTCCAGTGACACTGTTCAAAATCCGGAAAAATGGAAGATGAAAGCTTATTTACAGTGTATGCATGTAAAATAAGAGAATTAATGAGATGAAAGCTTATTTACAGTGTATGACAAGTTAAGAGAATTATCCAACTTACGTTAATCTCAATTTGTTGTTATTTGATAATGAAGTGGGTATAGGTCCACTAAACTCATTATTTGCCAAATTCCTATAAATAAAAGTTAATGAGATAATTTTCTTATAAGTCATTGCTTATTGCTTCAATTTATCATAATAAAATATATAGTTACCGATCACTACTAATCATAAACAACAAAATATACTTACAATTGTTGGAGATTAGTCATGGTGCCAAGAAAACTAGGAATTTCTCCATCCAATGTATTATTGTGCAAGTCACTGAAAACCAGAGAAGACAAATATTTCAAAATTAAAATGCTTAAAGTCAATCAATATAACAGGTTAGAATTGGTCGACTCACATTATCTCAAGAGCGTCCATGGAACTAATGTCTGGAAGTTCACCCGAAAGCTTGTAGCCGTTAAGATACCTGTAAAATTTAAATTATTCATATGATTCAGTCAAGTGTGAAGGAAATAAATCCGTCACAAACATAGTAAGTGATATTGTGATGAAAAGATTACCCTTCACAAATAAACACTTTAGATTTTTTTTTCTTACAATACAAAACCAGTCAAGGTTGAGAACATTTACAACGAGGTTATACGAGGTGGCGTCTCATTACTGCAATTTAGCCAGTCCCACGAATACGGTGCGGGAAGACACGGGTCGCCGCTCCATTCTCCCAACACATCAAATGTTGTTTGTAACAAAGCTAAAGCCACAACTGTTTTTCGTTTAAAACGAATCAAATAAAAAATAATCATAAATAAACTTTATCTTAACAAATCCAAAAAGCAAAAAAATTCGGAATTGAATACTACCGACCATCATTGCTATCTGTCCCATCGGTTAAAACTCCACTAATATTAAACGTCTCGATGGCGTTTATGATAGGTGGGAGGTCAGAATCAGTAGTAGCAATTAAAGAAATATCCGTGATTGAATCCACTGTGTAATTATAAAGGTAGCGTACAATCATGGTCCTGTAGGGTGGTGAAATTGGATCTGATATTGAACTACTTGATGAAGTTGTCGTCTCGTAAAACCTAAATGACCTCATTTGCTAACTTCTGAGAAGTACATTGTCATAGACACAGGAGTATTCAAAGGGGAAATGGTTCCCAAATACAAACTATCCGACGTGCTGTTTACTGTAATTGCGTTTGCAAATATTCCCGATGGGGGGTCATTGGCTCCAGTGGGGTCAATAAGAATTGCGTCGTTTGTGATTGTCTTTGCCTTGGTTCCACCAAGAGTGGGTCTCCATATTCTGTCATAAGGATCTTGTGGGAATCTGAAATGTAAACGTTGTTAAAAGTCAAAAGTCGATGACGATAAGTTAGAAGTTTTCACTGCTAAGGATGTGAGAATCTATATAATATGGCTCTTAATTTGAAAAGTTAACTGCTTAAAAAGAAAGTTTTTGAAAATCGTGCCTTATGATTCCACTTGCACCATAAGAAAACCTGTTAATCAAGAACAAAGCCCGATCTACATCAACTTCGCTATAAACATCTGAGTTGACACTGCGAACTTCAAGAGCCGACATAAAAGGGAATTGACCGGACTTTGTTTGACCCACACACACACTAACGGTGTCTCCTTTTGTAACATAAGTGGCTTCGTACATTTGTAGCCCACTATTCGTCGTCTCGACAGTTGTCCAAAAGTTTCCATCAAAGTGGAGATCAAAAGTTGGAGGACTTGACAATCCGTCATAGTTTCCATAATTGAAACTTGCCCGAACTAGCACTTTTTCGCCTTTTGTAACTGGGGTAGAATAACAGTTCTTTTTTCGAGTGGTGAAAACTCTAAGAGAGTTTAACTCAGTAGATATCGAGTTAGTTGACTGAACTACTCGAGCAAACCCATTTGAGATTAAAGTTGCATCTGGCATCCAAACCATTAGGTTATCATCGGTGTAGAGCACCGATTCCCGACAATTTACGCTCCAAAACACTAAAGTCACATTCAGAAAAAACAGATCGATATTAAAAGGTAAATGTGAAGCCAGATTTTTAAACCTCAAGTGGTGCATGTGTGATTTTTTTATTATCAATGAATGAAGAAAATGTTAAACGATTCTGGTGAGGATTACCTTGACCCGAAACCGAAAGTGCAAGTTGAGATAGGAGAAGAACCGAAAACAAAATGAAATGTGTAGCCATGATTATGACTTGTGAGAGTTTGAAGCTTGATTTGTGAGGTGTATATACTGGAACTCATTTGACTTTAAAAAGGAAGACTCTGGACTTGAAGGGCGTTAAATTTGCTTATTATCGTTTTTATGCATGCATGTGTATGGTATTCGCTGTTAAATGAGAAGTAGTAACAATAAAATATATAGTTTATAACAATTAAAGAATACTCTTGTGTCTATTTTTGAATAACTTGATTAAAGGGAACCTCAAATTTGCTTATCCTCGTTTTGTATGTGGTATTCGCTGTTAAACTTAAATGATAAGTGAGGTTGTTCCTTAATGATATTGATATTTCTTTCAAAGATATTGTATGTATGAAAATCTTATTGTTTATTGGCTGTAAGTTCTAGTAAATCAAGGATGCTGACTTTAGTGGGATCGTTAACGTTTACTTTAATGAGTCAACTATCGGAAAATATGCATTTGCCAGGCGACTCCTTGACAAAAATGAAAAAAGATGAACTGAATATGAAAAAAAAATTATTTGAAACAATTATTTTGAAAAGATTTATAAAGTTATTTAATCTGCTATAATCTTATTGAGGGTTACTGCCAAGTTAATGTTAAAAATAAAAATTAAGTAAAATAAATAAATAAAATAAAATAAAAAAGAAGAAGAAACCCACACAGATGATAAATTTAAAGCGTCAGACTTTTAGAAATTAATTGAACATTATACTTTTTATAGAAAAACTGATTTGAGATATGAATGAGAGTAAAGTAATCAACTCTAATATATTGTAGAGTTCTGTCAAGGGGTGATAGGAAGCCTCCCGATTTATTACTTTTATACATACAAAGCCCTTAAATAGGGTTAATGATCAAGAAAGGTAATCAAGTTTTATTTTTGTTTATATTTAGGTAATCATGTATTTTTCGTTTATATTTGATTATCGAACTTGTTTGACATGTTCAAAATAGGGTAATATGACCGGTAATCACTACTACACAAGTTATTTAATAGTGCGGTTATTTTTATTTTTTGATGCGTACAGCATCAAAAAATAAGATAACCGCACCATAAAATAGTTTTATTAGTACGGTTTCCGAAAATCGCACCATTAAAGCATTTTTTAGGTGGTTTCCCAAAACCGCACTAAAAAAAGATTTTGAAAACGCCTCAAAAAACAATTAAAACCGCCTCAAAAAATAATTTGCACTAAAAAACATTCAACCACACCATTAATCTTTCCTTTAAAAATTTCATTCGAATTTTTCATTCTTCACGAGATCCATCCAAATTTTATCCAAAGTTTTCATGTTCAAGCAAGCTACTAGTTGGTTGATCCTTTGAAATTTTCATTTCCCTCCTATATTTCGTTTTCCTTCTATATTTTCATTTCCCTCTAAAAGTATGTGTGTCCTGCGTGTGCTTTACCCCTTTTTATAGACAACACAAGAAGTATATCTGTTTTCTTCTTCCTTATTTTCTTTTTCTGATTAATGTTTGGTTTGTTTAAGGTGAAATAAGTTGGTTGATCGGAAATATATAGGAGATGGTGGTGCTTCGATGGTTCTCAGTAAAGGCACGACATTTGTTGTCGGTGTTGACAGTGGTTAGTGGTGGAGATGGAAGGTATGCAGATAAACTAATTTTTATTCTTCTTCCTTTATTTTACTGATTTACATTTGGTTTGTTAAAGGTGGAAAAAACGATGATAATTGGGGATGTTAGGTGTTCTTTATGGCTGTAATGGTGGTTTCCGACAAAGGTAGGGCAGATGGTGATGGTGTCAACTGGTGGTGGTTTATACTCGGTTATAAAGGAGGTCAATGTAGAGATGCTCGCCGGTTGTTAATGGTGATAAAAAAGGTGTGGCTTGGTGAATCTTGTGTTCTCGGCAACAAACACGCGATAGAGATGATGGTGGTTTCCGGTGGGATGGTTTTTTTGGTGTTGTTTGCATTTTTTTGGACAGTTTTCATCATTTTATGGTGCGGTTTGTATTTTTCCTCTACTATTTTTTGGTGCGGTTTTGACTATTTTGGAGGCAGTTTTATAACCGCACTATTAAATGAGGGTATTATTTGATGCGATATTTTTTAATGCGGTTCAATAACCGCATCAAATAACTATTTTAACCGCATCAACAAATCATTTATGTACTAGTGAATTATGGTAATATTACCTTATTATAAACGGATCAAACAAGTTTATTGGTCAAATGTGTACGAAAAAAAACATGGTTACCTAAATACGGACAAAAACCAAAGTTTCTTATCCGTTTTGGTAATAATGGACAAGAACCATCTTAGGGACTATGTGCGCTAGGATCATGCTCCGACAATCAATGAACAATTAGGTTAGACTTGGTCTAACCCAATTTAGTCCCGGCTAGTCATGGGCTAAGTTGTGTTGCTCAGTCTTCAAAACACATACAACTTAGCCCCTTAAACGTATACAACTTAACCCCTAACTAGTTGGGTCTAAACTGGGTTGGCCCAAGACTTAACCATCTCCTCATACAAAAGATCGGACAACTCAATTTCATTTCACATCAATGGATCTTATGACTACTTGCACTTAACATAAAGAACCCAATATTACCATAATAGGTAAGGAACTTTGGTTTTTGTCCATATTTAGGTAACTATATTTTTTCGTACACATTTGACCTGTTCATAATAGGGTAATGTTACCGCTAATTACCGGTCATATTACCTTATTTTGAATAGGTCAAACAAGTTCAATGGTCAAATGTGAACGAAAAAAACATGGTTACCTTATTTTGAATAGGTCAAACAAGTTCAATGATCAAATGTGAACGAAAAAAACATGGTTACCTAAATATTAACAAAGACCAAAGTTCGTTACCTTTCTAGGTCACTAACCCTTAAAATAATTCAAATTTTGGAGTACTAGAGGATAATGATTCTTGAAATTTTCCACCGAAAGCCCCAAAAGTTTTCAGCTATACGAAGTTTTGGAGTATGGTCAAGAGAGTGCAAAATGACGTCAAGAGTACGTAATTTTTATGTTTCTTAGATTTTAATTGAATGTTATGTATTTTTTATTTTAAACTAATAAATAAACCCATGGTGAACCATATGTTGGTTTCTTTTGGTTTTTTCTATTTTGAAATGGGCTTTATTATTAGACCCGTATTTTTATTGATGATGTTGGTAAATAATAAATTCTTTTTTTTTTCCGGTTTTCTCTTGTTTGAGGTGGATTGGGACACATCTGGAATTCTAATCTAAAAAGTTTGTATTATTATTGTTAATGTTGGTAAATGCTCTTTTCATATTTTTTTTCTCTTGTTTGAAGTGGTCTTTACTGTATATTGAAAAAGGTTACGATGGGAGCATATAAACGATATTCGGAATACTAATTGGAAAAGTCCCCGAAACAATATTGTCTTTGCGATGTAGGCAATGATCCTTAAGAAAAGTCATTAGCAACAAACATATAAAGAAATGCGATGTAGGTGATCATAGGTGAATACGATATAGGAGATGACCCATAGAATAATTCCTTATGGAAAAATAAATACAGAAAACGGGGATGGGTAATCGGATTAAATGTTTAATATGGAACATGTGAATAAAGAAATTAACTATATTATTGTGGGTTGAAAACCCTATGTATCTCACCAGGTTTTCCAACCTAACTCACCCAGTTTATTTGTATCACGGGTATCGATGTGAAGATACATTACACTGAAAGATTAAAGGAGATGTAGATCATTAGTATAAATTAATGTAAGATTTGTTTATATTTATGTTTTGTATCGGTTATGACACCTCATGTTTTGAAAAGATATCAATATTGAACGTTTTGTCACACCTCCAAACCAGGACAACAGAAACGTCTGGGGCGGATGGAATGACTTCATGTACAATATCATTATAATTAAATAGTAATGAAACATAACAATACAAACATTCATACATTGAGAATTTAAATATTAAATTGTTTACAAAAATTTCCGTTTGTTCATAAGTGAATACAAATGACTTAAAAACAGTAAACATGAAACGATGACGTCGGCCCTTAAGAAGTATTGAATACATGTCTACTGGTTTCCTGAGAGTACCAGTGATTTGAAAAACGTCAACATTGAATGTTGGTGATTTCATAAGCATTTTGTAACGACCCAAAAAAAATTAAGGGTAAATATTTTAGTTTTTTAATATAGCTAAAATATTGATATCGTTTATTTCAAACATTTCAAATCGTCGTTAAGTAAAACATTTATCAGAGTTCATCCCAAAATCATTAACTGCGGAAAAACGTAGTGTGATGCGCTGCGAAAGAGCCGACTCCTTTCTTTTGAAAACGAAGTATCTGAAACCAAAACTGAAAATCGTATGCACGAAGCTTAGTGAGCTCCCCAGAGCATAACCCACGCTCAATCCACATAACACATATCATATTAGCTACAAAAGCTATCTCTACCACATAGCACATACCATATTAGCTATAAAAGTTATCTCCACCACATACCACATATCATATTAGCTATTACAGCTACCTCTACCGTATAACATATCAAGTTATCCATAAGCTATCTCTACCATATAACATTAGCTATAAAACCTATCTCTATCACATACCATGTATCATATTAGCTATAAAAGTTATCTTTAACATTAGCTATAAAAGCTACCTCTACCATTAGTCGTAAAGGCTATCTCTACCATTAGCCACAAAGGCTATGTCTACCATTAGCCATAAAGGCTATATCTACCATTAGCCATAAAGGCCATCTCTACCATTAGCCATAAATGACATCTCTACCATTAGCCATAAAGGCTATCTCTATCACATATCACGACATAAATGTACCACGCACCTCTACCCATCAAGTATACCAACTATCATAAAATGGGCTGGCCTTGGTGCCTTAGACCCATTAGTATGATGAGAAAACTCACCTCACACTGCTGAAGTCCCGAAGACGAAACTCTAGTTGTTGGACTAATAAGGTAAGACCCAGTAAGTCCCGACACACTGCACCAACTCA